GTCAGCCATTCTTCGGAGCTTGCCCCTGCCCGTCTGTCCCTGTCATCGCTCCAGCGAAGCAACATCATAAATACGTGGCGAAGGGTCAAGTCATGTGGGGCCCCCGAATGGGTTCCGCCAAACGAGGCATCGAAATGACGGTCTAGATCTCGTCGTGCCACCTCTAACTTACGTACGCCGTATTTTTGCACTCCTTTTTATCTATCTTTCAATTTATAAATTTACTCCCTCCATTCAAATACTTCTTCCGTTCTAGAGTATTTGTTCAGTTTTGACTTTTGGAATTGTTCATCAAAGCACTTTGACTCATCAAAATCTCTCAATGTGTAAGCCTAAATATAGTCATGTGTGATCTTGTTTGATTTGTCTTAACATATAGATTATTAATATATAATTTTCTATAATTTTTTACTCCCTTCGTTCTCAAAAACACTTCCTCTTTCATTTTTTCCACTTCTAACAAAACACTTCCCTTTTCTATTAAAAAACCACTTTTACTCTTACTTTTTCATACCCTACCTATCACATCATACTTTTTCTCTAATAATTTATTCATCACATCTTATTTTTACCCATCACATCAGGGGCAAAATTGGAAATCAACTATAATTTAACACTTCCTTATTTTTGCCTCAAATCCAAATGGGAAGTGTTTTTCCAAACGGAGGGAGTAGTATACAAATTACGGAGTACAAGATAAAATGGATTAAAGACGTGTATTGGATGGTGTGTAAAAATGAAAGTGGACAAATACTCTGGGACGGAGGTAGTATTTGTTTATTTTTTATTTTTTCGATCAAAATTAATAAATTTTTACTTTAAATTAAATAAAAATGATAGCAGATACTAATAAAAAAATAGTTTGATTAAATTTATTATATAAAATATTTTCAAAAAATTAGTTTATCTAATTAACATACAATATGTATTTTATTTGATTATAGATCAGACATTGAAAACAATTGACTGGAAAAAATTAAAATTATAAAAATACTTTGGGATAGAGTTACTATTTTATTTACAAATTTGCATAGTAAAAAAATAAAATTTACATTTCTTAATTTTACATCAATTTTATACTCTATCTCGTCCGAAAAACCTTTTTGTTTTGACTTTTTTTAATCAAATAGTGAGACTCTTTGACCACAAACTAAATATAATTTAAATAAATAAATGGTATCAAAATTCAATATATCAAAATTACATCCTAAGATGAATCCAATTATATTGAATTTATATTATAGACAAATATAGTTTTTCTCACAGTTTATGATCAAAATGTATCATTGATTAACCAAAAAAGTCAAAATAAGAAAGGTTTTTAGGACCGGAGGGAATATATATATATAAAATAATTTGAAAATAAATAGTAATCGAACATTTAGCAACAAATAGGTTTAAATTTATTCACATAATTAAGAATTCATTTTGTCCCAAATTAAGTTGTTTGTTTACAATACAATTACACGGTCAAACTGAATATACTTTTTTTCTCAATTTTCAGTCTCCATTTGATAAAATAATATAATCGTATCAACACTTGTTTGACTGTGTCGTCGTAAAACTTTTAATTTAGTTTTTAAATATGTAAATTTCATTTTTAAATCCCACCACAACTCTTTAATAATTAAATTGTCTTGAAAATAACTTCAATAAAAAATTTAAATTGAAACGAATGATTTAGAACGAAGAAAGTAGTAAATTGGAATGTCATTTATTGATTTCGTCCCAAAAGAGTTTATTTTATTTGTTCTAAAATGATTTTCTCATTTTTAAAATTTTTTATATCATCCACTCTTCATATTAAACATCTTTTTATTTGTTTTTTAATAAATCAAAGTAATTAAACAAATTAGTTTCAAATTTAGAGTACTGGAGTACAGTAGATATTACCCAAATTTCACCACCTTCTTGAACGACGCTATTTATTTGCATGGATTATTTAATGGTTGTGGATTATTTCTAGCGAACTGTTTTATTGTTTTTCCTAAATAAATAAATGTCACATCTGAATAATATTCCTCGACCATTAAAAAAAAGTGCAAGTTGCAAATAGGTTGTTTATTATTCTAATCTGTTTCATAATATAATTATTGAGCATATTAATTCTTCATTAAATTATCATATGTACGTTATCTTGAACGATATTTTGCATGCAACATTCCAATTTTTTTTCTTTTTTTTTATTTTTTGGTTCAATATTTCAAAAAAATAAAGTAGTTGCAATATTTCAAATAAATAAATAAATACACTAGTTCCACAGAGGAGATATATAGTTTAATTTCGACATTTTTTTAGTTCAATTAATGCTAGGATAGTCCAAGAATTTATACTCATGTTTTACACCTTTACCCAGCCATACCCAACGCATTTTTTTAAACAATAACACCAAAAACTAAATTTAATTTTTTTTTAAAATTTTTTTTCCATCGTTCGTTCTTGATTTCTTGTCTAATTTTGTAGAAACTGTTACTCCGTATTTTTCTTAGATTATGGATAGTCATTTTGTTTGCGAACATCTCTATCATGAACTTAATGCTCACATTATTTATGTTTTTATCATTTCACAATGCATTAAAAAGAACTACGAGTCCGAGGTATTGTACTGTTCTTGTCACCTTTTTTTGAGGTAATTTGGTGATAGTTTTTTCGAAATATGCCATTGCATAATAGATTTATTACGAGTAAAAAATGCATTGTTACAAATTATTTACCAAAAAAGAAAATTACTCCATAGATCTGAATCACACAATTTTTTTTTCTTTCAAAAAACAAAGTTGTAACTTCATTTTGGTACAAACACAAATGAGAAAGAATTGTTTGGGGAAGGTGGGAGTAAATTTTGCACCGCTTAATTATTACTTGAAAAACATCAAAATGAATGGGTGTGGATTAGTGGCTTTAATTAATTAAGCATTGGTTTGCTTTTTTCTCTAAACAATCACAGCCGCTTAAATTAAAGGTGCAACTTGGAAGTTGGTAGCTAGGCACTCCCCCCTCTACCTCACTTTAATTTTGTTCTAAAATGTTTTTTCCGTTTTTGTTTACTAGGTGTGATCAATTTTATTTTTTCAAATTACTTTTTCTGTTCTAAAATGTTCTTTAATTTCCGTTTTTGTTTATGAGGTGTGATTAACTTTATTTTCAATTCAATTTATTTGATTATAAGTGTAAAACTAAAAAATAAAATTTATATATTTAAAAACTATATAAAAAATTCTGCAAAACAAGAGGTAACAAAACTATATTTTTTTATCAAATAACTAATGAAAATATGTAAAGAAAGTGTTTGAGACGAAGGAATATTTAAAATATTTGCTAAAAAGTTGTACACCGTATAAAAAAAGAAGCAACAAGAATATTTTATTTTATAAAATAATCAATAAATATACATAAATAAACATAAAAAATTCATGAATTTCAAATAGTAAACAGGAAGGAAGGACATTACATATTTACATACTTTAATTATAGTACTTTTACCACTAAATAGTTGTTTATTGGTTGTATGGTGCGCAAGCCTATCATATCGAGTTCAAATGGGACCAACAACATATCATTATTTGAGTAAAGTTACTAAATTTAAGTGGCGTGTAGACAATTTACCCCTTTTAGTGAAAGAGATTATCATAATAATTGGTGTATTGTTGTTTGAAATTACATAAAAAAGCATATACCCTCCCTTTGGTCATATTTATTTATTGGAGTAATAATTGATGATTACCACTTTCGTAACGAATCAAAATAAAACTGCACTGTACGAAACTAGGCATCAAGGCATGCACAAACGTGTACATATACATACATCTACTTTATATCTATATATATATATATATATATATATATATATATATATATATATATATATATATATATATATGAGTAAATTCCATAAAAGATCCCCAGTTATAGGTCGTTTTACATATTTAGTCCCTACATATCAAATATTACTAATTTGGCCCCCAATTATTATATTTATTTCTACGAATGGTCCTTTGTTAACATTTTCATTAAAACGTGGATAAAATTATAAATTCACACTCCTTTCTCTTCTCAATTAAGCTTTCTCCTCCCTTGTACTCCTTTCTCAAACCCGTCGCTAGTTTCTAGCTTTGAACCCAAAACCAAAATCATCACTCTTCTCTCAATTGTTTGTCTAACTGGAGGAACGATCATTTAAATTTTGGGTTTAAGAGCTTCAAACTCAGCGACGAGTTTGGGAAAGAGTATGAGAAGATAAAGAAAGCTTAATTGAGGAGAGAGAAAAGTATGAATATACAATTTTATCCACGTTCTTAACGGAAATGTTAACAAAGGACCATTCGTGGAAATAAATATAATAATTAGGGACTAAATTAGTAATATTTGATATATAGGGACTAAATATGTAAAACGACCTATAACTGGGGACCTTTTATATAATTTACTCTATATATATATATATATATATATATATATATATATATATATATATATATATAAAATTCGGTTCAAATAAGAATGATGTACAGTGAAATAAATGAAAACGCATATGATCTAATAGATTTAAATTCTGAAGAGTATTAAAAATAAAAAAAATGAAAAAATAACGGTAGTAATTTTATAAACAAATCAAACTTTTCTATCAATTTCGAAAATGTATCATTCTTATTTCTCGTAGTAATGGACCCAATCAATCGTCCCTTTACGGATAACAAAATCTGACTGAATTTATTTTCAATATAATGTATTTAAATGCATGATACTATATATGAATTAAAATTTATTGGTAAATGTTCGAGTCACAAACAAAACTCTAACAAAATGCACAAAGTTACCATTTGTGAATTTAAGTATTTATTTTTTAATTATTTGAGATCATTATTGGGAACTACTATTTTACATAATTGGTAAGTTTGTGCATTTTGTGAATTTTTTGTTTGTGACTCTCGCATTTTAATAAAATAATTGATAAAAATAAATTTAAAAAATAAGAAAAATCAATTGGGAGTATTTTAGAAACATTGGGACATAATGTTGGGTATTGATGGAGTTTGGAGGGATATACCCTCCATCATGGAGTACAGAGGATCTCCTTTATAGGAAAAGGGGAATTGAGTGGAGTAGTGGTTGTGGTGAATGAGGGCTTGTGGGTCAGACCCAATATTTCTAGGCCCAATCAAAAACCAATAAATAAGTAAACCATAACTACGGTGTCAATCTTGGTGTCATCTATGGTGTTGATTCTAGCATGACCAAGAAAAAAAGGGCATTACTGACCCATGACAGCAAAGTTAAGAGCAGTTAGCACATCAAACCCAACCTGTGCCTCAGCTTTCTGAAGCTGAGTAGTGGCAGAGCTAAGCTTCTGGGAGAACTCCGCGAGCCCCTTCTGCACCGCGGTGGGGTCAATCCGGTCAACGGGGACCGCCTCGAGAGTCATTATATCAGCGACATGGCTCGAGTGCACGAACGCAAAACCACTTGCCACGAAATACCTCTTCACGGCACTGCCTTGGTGCACTGAGATGACTCCTGGCTTTAGCTCAGCTATTGTTGCCACATGTCCTGGGAGAATCCCCATTTCTCCAGTTGTTGTTGGGACTACAACCATTTCAACCTGCAATCAATGGCCTGCTGTTAATCTTATGGAGACTTGGAATTCCATCAGCTGACTTATAAGTTAAAAACTGCTTATAAGCAGTTTTGACCAGGTTATAAGCACAGTGAAACAACACTATGTCTAGGGTATTTTAGACAATTCGTCATATTTTCTTCATTGGCTATGGAAAGTGGAGTGGCCAACTAATTTCGGACAAGCGAAAACAAGAAAGTGAACAGCTAATTCCGGATGGAGGGAGTATTATTTAAAGGACCAAAGAGAAATCAAACCAAACAATCAAAAGAACACCTTCAAAGGTCTAGAAGGAGATCAAATCAAACCATAACAAGGTACTATGTTTTAGACAGTATTTTTCCAAGTGTTTTCTGTAAATTTCCCTCCCAACCAAACCATTTGATTCTATGGAATTGATTTGGATGGACTTGAATTCTTCAATTCCAATTCATTTTAGGCACTACCAATTCCAAATCCACATTTTCGTGCTGCCAAACAATGCACTACCATCTTAGTACATTTTGCCTACTCATTTTCTTTTCCTTTCACTTTTCTTTTCTTTTCCTCTCTAATCAAACAAGAAAAATTGTTTTCCTTCTCATTTTCTTCTCTTCTCTTTCAAATTCCTTGAACCAAACATAGTGTAACGGATGAACCAGAGGAAAAAAAGACTACATTTGCAAGAACAAGAAGAGGACACTGAGAGCTTCAGTCCAAACACTAATTTATCCCCCCCCCCCACCCCCCCAATACACATAAAATATTTGATCTCAATTGATCATATCTCCTCAATCTCATTCCTAGTTCTACCCCTATAATTCCTATAAATCCCATTGGTTGATAAGTCCCAGTTTTTGTCTACAAGAGCCTCACTGCTTAGAACATGATAAAAAATTCAAGTTGATAAACCAAACCAAGTGCCTCTTGAACACCCTTATTCACATAAATTGCAGTAAAACATGTACTGCTCCACAACTGAATAGAAAAGTAAGCTTTGAGGGATATTTGATTTAAACATGTATGGGTTCAAGGAATTCAAACTACTCCTAAAATCCGCGGAATGTAAAGCAAGGTTGATATGATATGAGTTCTGAAATATGAAATGGAAGTGTTTGGAAGGATTTGAAACGATGGTTGTTAGCGATAAACTATTAGTGAGGCTTCACCGAACACCCATAGGGTTCTGACATCAAAATCCATATCTATTGCTCTCGCCAAACGGGCACTAAGTTTGATAAGTCATTCCAACACCTACACTTAGAATAATTCCTTATTCTAATCTGCTACCTGAAGTTTAGCCCAAGACAATTTTACAGAATCATCAATCTTCTTCATCAGTCATCACCAATTTCAAACAGCATTGCATAATCAAAGTTGCATATCGAATATGATTGTTTTTCGAGGCAACCCAAAAGCTTGAAACACAGATAATCTCATCTCAGGTAAGATTGCAGCATGAATCTAGAAAGCATGAGTTTGGAATGTAAATCAGAAATGCCAAGAATGGTGGAAAGTGACCTCATTGTCGGAGAACTCGGAATCGTAGGGCAGAACGAAGTTGATTCTGAGCTTTGCCGGGATAGAGGATGAGGCAGGCGGCCGGTGCTGCGTGAAGGAGAGGGGAGTCCTGGGAGGATCAACACCGGGAGCCGCCCTCCTCCAGGCGGATGCGAAGGCCTCGTCAGCCGGCGGCGTGGAGGCAGGATCGGTGGAGAACCCTCGCGATACTCCGGCGGAAGTGGCGGATCGGTTCCGCAAGCAGCTAGCGGCGTGGCGGAACATGGCGGCGCACAAGTCGGAGATCGGTGGCGTCTATCTCAGCCGGTTTCATCTACAGTACCCCCTCCTCTCTCTCTCTCTCTAAAGTTTCATTTTTTTAATGAAAAAAATTGACATTTGAAACGTCGTGATATAACGGAATTAGTACTTTTTTTTATCACCGCAATTTTCCCTGGCTCAGCCCCATGAACCACCGGAAGCACCGCCGCCATGACGGCGGCGATAGCGAGCAGAGACCACAGATCCGAAATCCCAATTCCACCGTTCGCGAGGTTGTCTGGTTCTCCCTTATCGCCACCGCAATCAAGCTCCTTCTCATCCCAGCTTACCGCAGCACTGATTTCGAGGTCCACCGCAACTGGCTCGCCATCACCCACTCCCTTCCTCTGTCTCAATGGTACGCCGACGAGACTAGCCCGTGGACCATCGACTACCCGCCGTTCTTCGCCTATTTCGAACGCTTACTCTCATTCTTCGCCGCCCAAATCGACCCTACCATGGTCGACCTCCGCCGCGGGCTCGACTACAAATCTCCGGCAACTGTCCTCTTCCAGAGACTCAGTGTCACTGTATCCGACTCAGTACTGATTTACGCAATCTACAGACTGACCCGAAAACTGGATCCCCGAGAGCGGATCATGATCTGGGTATTGGTGATTTGGTCTCCGGGATTGATCATAGTGGACCATTTGCATTTTCAGTACAATGGGTTTCTCTTGGGCCTTCTTCTGCTTTCTCTTTCTGCTTTAGATGAAGGAAGAGACTTGCTGGGAGGGTTCTTCTTTGCCGTCTTGCTTTGCTTTAAACATTTATTTGCAGTGGCTGCACCTGTTTATTTTGTGTATCTGTTGAGACACTATTGTTGGGGTGGATGGTTTAAGGGGTTTGGGAGGCTGGCATTGATGGGGAGTATGGTCATTGCTGTTTTCGCTGCAGCTTTTGGACCTTTCGTGTACTATGGACAGGTAATTCCTCTCGCATAACTCAAAAAAATGGTTTCTTTGAACTCGCTATGAAACTTGTATCACTCTTGAACAATTTGTGACTTAAATGTAGTACTGATTCTTATGATAACTCAAAGAATGTTTTCTTTATATACTTTGCTGACCAATTTGTAAACTACGTATACTTTTACAGATACAGCAAGTCCTTAACCGCATGTTTCCCTTTGGTAGGGGACTCTGTCATGCATATTGGGCTCCGAATTTCTGGGTGTTCTATATTGTTCTTGATAAAGTAGTTGCTTTTATACTTGTGAAACTTGGTTTCACAATCCAGGCACCAGCTGCCTCATTCACAGGTGGGCTGGTGGGTGATTCTTCTCCTTTTGCAGTACTACCCATGGTAACTACACTAATCTGCTTATCTACTTGCTGAATACTTGTCTGTTGGATTCTTTTTCATGCACTACATTCTTTGATTGCGCACTAAATTGGTTAAAAATGAAAAAATTAGGCCTGGATGATTCTTTTTGGCTTATGTGAGTTACTGAAGATGTTCAAAATTATCCTTAAGTCTTTATATGTATATATATTCTACATTACCAATAAAATACTAGTTTTGAAAATGGTATTTTCATGATTCAATAATTTCTGTGACTTCATCATTATCTTGGATAATGTTAGCAACTTGAGCAATTCCAACCAATTTCACCTTTACCAAATGGGCTCTTATAGACTGCCAATCCTAGAAGACAATTCATGTTTGAGTTTTTTTTTTTTGGCCAAAATGTAGCATGATGGATTGTATGTCCTTGTCAGCCTCTAAAATTTATATTCCTTTGTTAGTTTGGCATATTTTATTGTTTATATCCAAATTCAGAGTAATAATGATCTTATTTCAGACTACATTTAAAAACAGGTGACTCCATTAATGACCTTTGGTATGGTCTTGCTGGCACTGATTCCTTCTCTTGTAAAGGCTTGGAAAGATCCCAAACCAGGAATGATCACCAGATGGGTAGCCTATGCTTACTCATGTGGCTTTATGTTTGGTTGGCATGTCCATGAGAAAGCATCACTTCACTTTGTGATACCTCTAGCTGTTGTTGCCTTGAAAAGTATGGAAGATGCAAAGCATTATTTCTTCTTGTCAATAGGTAATTTACTCTAATCATTGCAGCCTTTTTGTCGAGTGTTTGTTTAATGCAGTATATTGGACTGAATTGTTTTTCTTCTCAGCTTCAATTCAGATTTTGTTTTGTTTCTGAGCTTCAATTCAGTTTGACTTGCATGGATTTTAAGAAAAGTATTGAAAAGTGAAAACTTTATGGTTAGAATTTGTTTAGAGGAGGGAGAAGAATTGTGAGCCACTCATTCCTTTCTTTAATATAAAAGTGATTTTTTTTGGATGGATGAAAAAGGAAAAACTGGAGTTTTTTTACGGGACGGGGAGTATTATTTTTTCAGTTGTTTTGGTGGTTAGCACTCAACTTCTTTTCTTCCATTTATCATGAGCGGGTGAGATTTTCTTTTAAAACCCATGATGTTTTTGCTTTTTGTATATAATCGACTAAATAAATTGGCACATTAAACTTCCTTTGCTTCTTAAGTTCTATGAAGTTTTGGGTAGTAAACGCAACAATGCATCAAGAGTCCAATGCTCTCTCTTTTTTTAGAAGGGTAAGGCTGCATACATCTTGACCGCCATACACCAACAAAGTTATTAGGACTGTACTCGGTTTTGTTTGTTTGTTGAATCCTAATCCAACTCTAATTTCCATTAACTGAGTTTGATAAACAAAGTTGAGTGAAAAATAACTTAAAGTACCTTTAGATTCCAACAGTGAAAAGATGTTTGAAATGATGTATACACATATTTTGTTAATCTTTCAATACTTTTAAAATCCCAAATGGATTATAAGGCATACTCAAAACCCTCAAAACCTTCCTCACAAAAGAAATACTCTGGTGACATACTCTCTCCATTCCATATTAACTATCCATTAACACGTTCTAGATACATTGGAAAATAAATGAATGTAATCATACTCTATGTCTACATTCATTCACCTTTCAATGTATGTAAAAAGTCATAATGGACAGTTAATGCCGAATGGAAAAAGTATAAATTTTGAAAGACTAACATGATTCCCATCCCCATGCAGTGTCTTGCTATTCGCTTTTTCCACTTCTCTTCGAAGCTCAAGAATATCCCATTAAGGTTCTATTACTGCTATTACATGCTGTTCTTGCGTGGCTCGGATTTTCCTCGTACTTCAACAACAATGCTTCAGAAGCTGCTTCAAAATCAGACAAGAGATCTATTGCTTCTGGGAACGCGTGCTTCCATATTGGATCTTTGGGAAAGGCTTATCTGTCTGGTCTCTTCGCCGTGGAGGCGTGGGGCCTACTTTTTCACCCTCTCATCCTCGGCGAGAGGCTTCCTTTTTTACCCCTGATGATGATATCCATATATTGCTCCTTGGGAATGGTGTATTCTTGGATGTGGCAACTTAGAAGGATCATACAGTCTAATTGACTGAAGATTAGGATATATGCATGCTAATCCACATGATAAGCACATTCTTGTTTATTGTCTTATTCTCCACTTTCACTCTATTTTTACTTACCTTTTGATCTTGAGCCGGGTGTCTTTCAGAAACTGTCTTTACCAGTTAAGTTGCGGCGTTGTGATTTTGGAAAATGTGGTGATGTCAGCTTCCATGACAGGTTGCGCGTTGATTTAAACGGAGATCGCATAGGTAGGTGAAAGAAGATGGCCTTCAAGAAATGAGGTATTGCTTTCTTTATCCTTATAATAACTTGATAAACCACTCATCTACACAGACTTGGTTATATATAGGGGTGTTTGACAAAGAGTTTTTTGGTAATTTTTTTTTCTCTCAAAAATTTGTAATGTTCATTGATAATGATATCATTTTGACACCAAGAAAGGATTTTTGGAATGTCTGCGTGAACAGATATGGGGTGTCTGAAACACTCTTTTTTTGTCAAAAGTGGTGTCATAACGTGTCATTGTTGTTGGTGTACATTAAATTTAGAGTACGTGACAAAATGCAAGAGGTTAGAGTTGTATTTTTTTGTAAATGCCATGTAACGGTAGTAATTATATTTAGCGTTTTCAAAATTAATTTACACTATTAGATTTTATCTAAAATGACAAGGCTCATTAAATATGTCATTCCCAAACAATGTCTAAATTTTCATAAGCTATGAAAATCGATCACATACAAAACAATTTCTCTTTCTCGATATTTTATTTTTGAAATTTTGAAGAAATATATACAAACTTTTTTCTTTTGAGATAAACACTATGCTGTCCATATACATACAAAGTGTTATTTTACTTTTCTACTGCACAAATTGCAAGTACACAAGTTTTATTATGTGACGAAGGAGGCTATTTCCAATTTAATTGTTATTCCATACTTTATATATTTGTCTCTGTTTTATTTATTTTTTTCATAATTCAGTTTTTATTACTTTGTTTTCATGATAACATATTGATTATGAAAGGCCTTGTTTTTTGAGAATTAATTTCTTACTCCATATTTAGTTAAAACTACGAGTAAATTTTTACTGAACACTTAGGTCTGCTTTTTGCGCCTTACTTTTTTCATGGAGCTTTGAGCGTGTAAATTAAGTATATAGTAACTTGAACATGAAGTTTAAAACTAAAATATGATGACTTGAATATAAAATTTAGAATTTAAATACGGAGTAATTGAATTACACTCTGTACGGTAGGGAAAAGCGAGTAGTTAGAAAATAACCTCCCCAGGCCATTTCTCTTCCTTTTTTTCTTTCACATGTGTTTTCACTTTCTCTTCAAACAAACACAACTTAAGAGAAATGACCCAACATTAAAAAAACAATGAAAATAGTATATAGTATAAATAAAGAAAAACAGCTTGGCCATATGATAACTAGATCTAAATGAATAAGTTTCCGAAAATGTAATGAAGAGTCTGGAACAGTAAATTTGAATTTTTACTACTCATTGATATACGCAGTACTAGTATATGATATTGGGTAACTTCATACATACAAACACATAGCACCAATCAATAACTATATATAAAAATCGTGAATTTCTTTGTTTTGATATATGAAGCTTTATCTTTTTGCTTTACATATTTTCATCATTCAATTTATTTGATCAAATAATAAAATCACTTCACTCTTTCTTTTGTAAAACATTAGATACTCTGATATAATTTTAAATATATACTCCCTTTGTTTTATATTTTTCTTTCACTTTAACTTTTAATGGTCTCCACTACAATAACTTGATGGTCAATATCTCTATTTATGTACAGACATTATTATAATTAAAAATATAATATTTCAAAATCACGTTTCAAGACGAAACTATTGGTATCAACTTGGCCGTTTTGAAAATGTTATTCAACGCAGAGTAATGTTTTTTTATGTAATTAATGTTATACGGAGTATGTGTTTTTCATTCTCGAAAAAAAACAAAATTTTGCATTCTTGATAGACTTTGAAATGGCTTTTTGTGTAACAATATTATCAACAATAATGTTTTGTCTTTTCTTCACTAATAGAAAAGGTACGTATACACGAGTAGATGGAAACATGCATGGACCGGAAATAATGGCAAACACGTACTAATTGTGAACATTTTTCCTCTTGGGATAGTTTTTGTGGATCATACACTATTTGAACTTGTACTCCAATTTCCATTTTTTAATTTATAAAAACACATATTCAGAAAAAAATTTTGTGTCACAAAAATAAGAATGACATAGACGACTTTTAACTGTGCAGTTTAAAACTGAGAAAAATGTACAAGGTAATGTATTTTGGAGTAAGTGTGACGTATTATCTCTTTTACAGTATTATAATTACTCCTTCGGTCGCCCCAATGAAGAAAATACTCTAATATTGGCTAAGGGTTCTTAAAAATGTACTCCCTCCATTTCACATTTTTTAAAACTAATTTATTTAAAAATTGAACTAATAAAGTATATATGTATACTCCATCTATACTTAATACCTAGGTTATATTGTCTTGAACTTATTTCTATTATTTACTATTTTTAATTTGTTCTAGTGTATTTGTTTAATTGACTTTTTTCGTGTCAAAGTGAATGCATTTTGAACCTTAATTAATTAAAAAAAATGTATTGTACTCTGGATGTATTAGTTTTAAAATGATTTTATCCAATTTATCTTATACTCCCTCCGTCCCTAAATAAAGTTTCTCTTTCGTTTTTTCTTTGTCCCTAAATAAACTTCTCTTTTCCCTTAAAAACCCCATTTTACCCTTTACTTTTACATACCCTACCTATCACATCATACCTTTTTACTAATAATCTATCTATCACATCTTACTTTAACACATCACATCAAGGATATTTTTGGAAAGTCAACACCAAAATATCCCTCCCTTAAATTTTCAAAAAGTCAAAAATGGAACTTTATTTAGGGACGGAGGGAGTAGATAGTTTTCAAATTGTTATTTCATTGTATCAATGGCAATAGTTTACCTTTAGTATAATTGGTGACTAAATTAAAGTTAGCTGAGTTTGACTCAAAAAAAATGGAATGAAACAAATGCACCAAGATAGAGAGAAATAATTCTTTTCACATGGGAACAAATCAGAGTAGAAATAAGTTAAGTTAAACTTAATGAGAAGTGACTTCTGCTAGCCACTTTAAGGTTGCTCTACCAGATGCTACCTGGGCATTCATTTGCCTCACTATATACGGACCCACTTAATATAAATAGCCATTAACACGAAATGAAAAATATAAATAAGTTTTACTTTCACTATTTTGTTTCACAATGGACCAAACATTTATTTTTTAAAGAAAGAGCATATTTTAAACGGGGCAAATACTCTAAAACGGAGATAGTATATTACGGAGTACAAGAGTAAATACTTTTTTTTTTGAACCACAAGAAATTTAAAATTTTACACTAGTTTTGTTAAATAATGTTCATCTGATATACAAGAAAGTTGGTAAGAATATAATAAATGTACAATAAATATGCACATAGTTTATCATATGAACGAGTTAGACATAATTTATTTATATGTAGTGCTTAGTATGTGAAAGATGTCCAAACGACTTTAGACAATGACAGAGAAGATAGAAATTAATTTAATGTAAACTAATTGGTTACTAAAACAATCACGAGTACGTACTATAATTTGTTTAGAAAAAATATTAAAGAGTTGAAATGGATATAGAAAACAACAACAAAATATGAGTTTGCAGAAAAAAAAAGGGAAGAATTTTTTTTGAAAAGAATCTTGCTATAATTGGAATGCATATTCACTCCAAATTTGGAATTGACTGAGGGTCCGTTTGGTATTCGGAATTGATGGAATTGGAATTGAATTGGAATTAAAATTCTATGGGATTCAATTTCATAGAATTGAATTCAACAATTCTAATTTATTTTTTGCACTATTAATTCCAAATCCACATTATTTTTGTACTATCAAACAACAAAATTGGAATTGAAATCCTCAATTCCAATTCCATAGTTTGAATTCTGTGTACCAAACGGGACCTGAGACTTTAGATTTTGGAATTGGAACCAGATGCAATTATCTTATGAATTCAATTGGTTCGGATTCGGAATAACTTTGGGCCGTGTTTGGTTTCAACTTCTCAAGATTTAGGTTGGTTTGAGTTTTGTTTGGACGATGATTTTAGACTGTTTGAATTTTTGTATATTTACATTTTCTTCTGAGGTAACAACGCTTGTAAAAAAGAGTCCACGCTAACAACGCTCATACATTTTCGTATATTGGATTAAAGTTTTTTTATATCGCGATTTTGAATTACAACCTCATAATGTGTGACGATAAATTTACGTTACATTGCTTATTATTTTGTTATGCCACATTTACAATACATTTTTTATATCTCAATTCCCAGGAAAAAAAATTATATTGGCCAGTGTCTATCTGATTTTGATGTGGTAAGCTTCTTTTTTTCTTTAAAGACATGTAACTTTTGTAAAATAGTTGGAGTTTAATACTTTAATTTATTCAATCTTGGGTTATACGAAATATATACTCCTGTTTTAAATACAGTTTAGGATGATATCTTTCCAAGTGTCTCAGTCATAGTTTTATTTTGGGAAGTACGGACTAATATTTAAAGGTCTCAGTTTATAATGTACTCCCTCCGTCCCAATTTATTTGCAACACTTCGAACGACGTGCAAAATATCATCTCTTTTAAAATCACTTTAATTTCAAATTCGTAGAGTAATAAAAAGTAAAAATTACATCATTCAAAAGTATATGAAAAGTTCTACAAAACAAGATGCGACAAGAATATTTTATTTTATCAAATGGTCAACCAAAACAAGTAAACAAACAAAAGTTATCGATAGGCCAGAATAGTAAACGTGGCATTCTTTCTGGGACGGAGGGAGTAACTTTTTTTAAAAAACAAAAAATTAGGAACTTGATTATGAAGGATTCTGAAAGTACAATTTTTTTTTAATATATTTCCTACTTTATTAAAAAAATAAGTTGGTTTTGGCATTTCTTTCCTTCATTCCATACTGATTTTAAGAATAAACTATTTTAGGAATGAGTGATTTCAGAGAGTTAGGTCCTCTATGGCATCAGCTTTAGAGATTAACATTAGTGTTTTATTTCAAAAGGTTATCTGACGGTAAAATTTAGCGTTAGCGATTTTAATACTCCCTCCGTCCCACAAAAAAGTTCTCATTTTGACAATAAATTGGTCAAACAGTTACACGCTTTGACTATAAATTAAATATAATCTAAATATAGAAATACGAAAAAAGTTTAAGATATCAGATACTAAGATGAATTCAATTATATTAAATTTATTTTATAATTCAATATACCGTTCTCACAATTTGTAGTCAAAACGTGTAAATATTTGACTAAATACTACTCCCTTCGTCCCATTTTAAATTGTCTGTTTG